TCTGGTTTTCGCATTATACCCCTTGACCTCGGAAAGGTTTGTTTTTCATCTTCCATCTTGTTTTGGTTTAGAACCAATTCTACACTATTAGTCGCAAAACTATCAGGCCATTGTCACTGAAGGCCCTCAACTGTTATTTTGTTCACTTTTTTTGCATTTCTAATAAATGGCCGTGTAAGAACTGAACTGGAATAAATGAAGTCATTGAATGACTTTTATTTCGTCCACATTTCGAGCATGCCTAATAGATTTATTGCCACTTGATTCTTTACTTGAACTCATATGTCAAAAATCATCCGCAAATTGTTCAAAATGGTCTTTAAGGACTGAACTGGAAATACATGAAGTCAGGGACCCATAGTGGGAATGATCAAAAGTGAGAAGAATTGGTTTTCATCTTCCATACTTATTCAGAAAACATCAGTTTTTTGTATGACATTCTAAAATGTTACATCCACAGGAGTCTTCCAGCCCCAACAGGACCCTGGACCTCACCTCTGCTCTTGAGACAGGGACAGCTGAGAGTAAAGTGCTTAATGACCTCAAAACCAATAGTTGCTCTACAAGATCTGTTATGACCATTGCTTTCCAGTTTGCCTTTGAAAGCCACATGCAGGAGAATGTTGCAGCCATGGCGCGACAATATGTGCGTAGCATTATCTCTTCCGTTCAGAGGGTAGCAATAGCACTTTCTCCTTCTCACTTGGGCTCCAGTTGTGGGCTCCGTATGCCAATGGGTACTCCTGAAGCTCATATTATTGCCCGTTGGGTTTGCCAGAGTTATAGGTTAGAGTCGTCATACATTGTTTAAAGTTTAACAATATTATTTTAGGAACTGGGAATTGTATGAACAGTTTCCCTCTTTCAATAGGTGTTTCTTGGGTGTGGAGCTTCTTAAATCCATGGGAGATGGAAATGAATCAATTCTGAAAACTCTATGGAATCACCCGGATGCTATTGTTTGCTGCTCTGCAAAGGTTTGATAAATGAAAAACCTTACCTTTTCTTGGTCCCAGTCCTTTATTTTCGGGAGTGTTACTGTAGTACTTTCAGTTAAAAATATGGATGAATCAGTAAGAGATCGTTTGGAACTTGAGTAGCACAATAGTCATTTTAGGCCTCAATCACTTATTTTAGATATTCGTTGATAGTCATTTTTGTTGTTTCACTCTTTGAGATAAAGGATTAATAAATCTTAGGTTATGTACAATATTAAAAATTTGGCAAGGGAAGGCTTGCCCCCTATACACCCCTGTGGTGTAAGACCTTCCCCTGAACCCTTGCCTTGCATGGATTCTAACGTGCGGTGTGCACTGAGCTGCCCTTCTAGTCATCTTTTTCCTTCACATTTTCCATTGTAAAACCAAACAAAATACGAGAGCTTTACTTAGGATTTCTCCCTCTTTGACAGTTTAACTATCATATTCTGTGTTCAAACATCCTCCATCTCATTTTGCATGACATTATTACTAATTTTGACTTTGTAAATTGTAATGATCTTGCACCTCACATGAATTTTTTGGGCCTCAATGATTTCTGCAGGCATTGCCCGTTTTCACGTTTGCAAACCAGGCTGGTCTTGACATGCTCGAGACAACTTTAGTTGCACTTCAAGACATTACTTTGGAAAAGATATTTGATGAACATGGAAGAAAGAATCTCTGCACTGAGTTTCCTCAGATAATGCAACAGGTTAGTATTTTTCTCATGAAATTTGAAGCATAAGGATAGTATGCTAAACACTATATGCCTTCATATAATTTCGAATCATCAAAATTATTTCAAAGTTACTTGCATTTCGTCATTCCTTTCACAAAGGGTAAGGAAGTCTAGGGTCAGGGGAAAGGATAAGGGAAAGACATTCAAGGACCTATTTAGATTAAGGCTATGTTTGGAACAAGGAGAAAGGTAGTAGCGGAAAAAAAATTGCTACAAGTTAGATAAGATTTCTTAATTTTGGTTGACCATGTACAATACAAAGGATCAAATTTAGTTAAAACTTTTCAAAACTCTGAATATGTTTGTTTTTCATAAACTTAATTTACCAGAAATGTATGAAATAAATTGAGATTGAACGAAGTAAAATTGGTTTCTTGAGTTTGAACCCATATAAAATTTCTTTATACATGTTCCTCGCTTTTGAATTTCACTGGCATTTTCCAGAATCCAGATGTAACCTAATTCTTTTAAGATTTTTTAAAAATACTACCGGTTCTTGAGCATGACACGAACTTGAGCCTTTTATTTGTTTGCTATCTATGCTGCACAGCGTAGTGTGTTTTCTCTTTGATTCCTTAAACAATGTTTTATTGACAGGGCTTTGCATGCCTACAAGGCGGAATATGCATGTCGAGCATGGGTAGGCCGGTTTCCTTCGAGAGAGCAGTGGCATGGAAGGTTCTGAATGAAGAAGAAACTGTTCATTGCATCTGCTTTATGTTTATAAACTGGTCCTTTGTTTAAGTTTGTTAGTTACCTTTGAATCTTGTGTCTAAAGAACCTCCAATGTGTCTGTTACTCTATCTGTTTGTTGACTTTTGTAATCTATCTAGGAAGGAACAATGGGTATACAGCCTCGGAACCAGTTAATTTCGTGAATATCACCTTGTTTAATCTCTAGTGTACGGAGTTGCTTGTTACTTTGTTAGTAATATTGGTATGTTTTACCATACCTTAGTAATCCGTATGAGCATGACACTAGACACTAGTAAAGACATGCAGGAAAAGGTTTCCAAGGTTGAAAGTGTGGGTAACTTTGTATGGGCAGATATACCAATATTTGTACTCTTATTGGAATATTGGTAATTTTGTACTCATAAAGGGTAAAACTACAACGTTTATCAATTTGGAAAATACATAGCAAACTCAGAGAGTTTATTTATTTGAAAAGTTTGTTAATCAAATCTAACATTAAGTTTGGAAAAATGTCATTTTAGTTAATAGATATTGATAGTAAATAGTAAACTGTAACTATTCTTTGAAATAGTGACATATTTACAATTAAAATAAATATGATCAATAAAACTGAGACATTTTATGTGTAGGGAATATGGATTAAAGTAGTACTATTTCTGTCTTGATCTAAGGTTTTTATGGCAAAATGACATAATTATATTCTAAAAAATGAACATGGAACAAATAATGTGTGTATACATAGTACACTTATAATAATTATATAACACGAAGTTTTTTTATGAGACACTAGTAAAATTAAAACATCGAGGATGAATTCAGAAGCATTGACAATTCCTATCGAATTTTCTTAGGAAAAAAAACTCATGTCAACGACAGGTAAAGCACAATCATTTTGTGCCATATACTTTGTGTACCATTACAGAAATTGGATAGTAAACATTATACAGAATTAAAAGAAAAGACCGAACACAAAACTATGAGAGTAGTTGAGACTTGAGAGCAACGCCATCAAAACATTTTTCAAATGCAAATGAGTAACTCGGTAAAAATCACCTTTCCCGTCTCACAAAAATTGCCAACTTTTTATATATATTTGTTTTAGTTGTCTACTTTGTTTTTCCTCTTTTCTTTTAAAATAATAATGGTGTAATTTTTTTTTCTTTTGAAAAACACATATATCCAATCGTAAATTCTTCGACATATTTCGTTAAAAGTGTGACGGCGGGCTCACACATGGTTTCTCATATACAACTAGCTCAGTCCGACACTATACTACCCAATCCACTAAGAAAATGTCATGTAATAGGATAAAGTGAGATTCCAAATTAATGTTTGACAAAAATAAAAAGACAACACTTACCACAACATTACACCAAACACCTACTACTTCTCATGTCAACTTAAAGCTGCCCTTGTTATATATTCTAATGCTTCTTCTAGCTTGCAAGATTTATAAGTTCTAGTTTAGCCATCTACTACAGTAGTTAATTAACGTTAAATCTTAGATGAACACATTTTTCTTAATCCAACACAATCTAAAACAATATGTAGTATCTAAAAATTAATATGAAATATTAGATGTCTAGTGGCATATCTAGGAAAAACCATTGGTGGGGCATAATATAAAATTATAAAGGGAGAATCTGACTTTAAAATCCATTTTTTGAGAGATATTGATCTTTTAATCACATTTTTAAAACCATTAATGTGTACACCCCCTGTTTAGTTTAAAACCATTTGACTTTACACTATCATCCCATCACAATTTTGGGTGGATTTTAAAAATGGAGTGCAAAGTCAAATATAGTCCAAAAATAAAGTGCAAAGTCAAATTTTCCCTCTTAAAATGGAACATAAGACAATGAATTCAATTGTGTGACGAACAAATTTATATGAGTTGTCTAATAATGAACTTCTATAATTATTTTTGTTTTAAATGATGAAAGATGCTTTGCGAGGATTTGTCTGCTTTGTCATGGACGAGAGGGTGCACACCCAAGAGGGATCTGAGGCAAGGGTGCTCACCTTTATTCGTCTATCTTTTGGGTCTTCGATTGATAAAACTCTTTTCCGAATCCCTCAACAGTCAAATGAGCATATGGAGACGGCTATCTTTGTCAGTTGTCACCAACGGGTCCTTTTTGTCTGGCCAAGGAAAAAAGAGAAAGCATAATCAACCACCAGACACTGGATGAACCACTTTCGGTCCCAAAATTAGTAACCCACGACCAGGTTACACACAAGGAAGTACCCAATCATGTGTCACGATTCTGGCGAAGAATCGGTCAACCGGTCTGGAGCTTGATCCCGATTAGGAAATCAGAAGTCTTTCTAGGATAAGAACCAAAATAAAGTAGAAAACTTAATAAAGTTCTTTTTTGCACATAAATACTTTTGTTCAAATATGCTTTTAACACCAAAATTGCTTAATTCTTCTAAATTTTAAAGGAAATGAGGGCAAAGGGAAGATTACTCACAGCTAACAATGACTAGTTTAGTTGAATAAATAAATTGTCAATATAAGAAATTGACTTGAATTCAAGTTACTAAAAGCTTCTCGTATTTAAAAAAATGAGCAACACCTATGCACCAATATCTAATTGTTGCGGACCTGAACTACCCATCTTATAACCCTTAAAGTGGAGGGCAAAAAATGCGTATATGAATTAATATCCTATAGGATTTAGTAGTCTTCAAAATCATATTGTTCTTCATAATCATAGGTTCCAGGTTCTGCACAATTTTCCTCTTTGACATATTCTCTTTCAACTGTCCACTCTTCTCCGGTGGTCTCGTCTGTTATACCATCCAGGTTGCCATCATATTGTTCTTCAAAATCATAGGTTCCAGGTTCTGCATAATTTTCCTCGTTGACATTTTCACTTTCATCCGTCCACTCTTCTACGGCCTCATTTGTTATGCCATCCAGGTAGTCATCGTTGTTGGAGCTTATGTCATCATTTCGGCTTTTCTTGAGACTATTGTTATCAGGGAGTGGCTGCCAGGAAAAATTAGCCATTAGGAAAAACTTATGTTATGCACATGCAAATCAAGACAAAAAAAATCAAGGTTTTCATTCATTCCAAAATGTGATAAAAGTTGCAGGAAAAATAACACTGAATTTCTTCAGCCCATGGGCATGCATGCATGATGTGGATGTCAAAAGGTTATAGAACCCATTACTCAATCTTTAGGCCTGGTTTCTGAACCATAACTAACTAACTAAATAGGTTTTTGCGATTTCTATTTTGTTTTAAATTCTGAAAACACAAGTATAATAAAGTTTTTCTTAATACAGATAGATACATAGTAGCACTTAATTCACAGTAATTGTTTTTCTAAAACAGAACAATAACATGAATACAGACGTTGAGATTTATGATACATATCTACCACATTTTTATTGTATACGGAGTAATAAATACAGAAAACTTAAAATCATATGCACACAATAGAATAACCAAACATGTTTATATGTTTCAAGAAATGGAAAGAAGCGAAAATGAAATGTTTACATAGATCAGGAAAATACAAAATATATAGGATATTAAGGGTTTTAAACGAACCCTGGGTACTAATTTGTATTACCAGTACATACTGGTGTGTAGCACAGTCCTGAACAGTGAGATTAGACATTGTTTACTTGAAGATATTTCCTGGAAAAGAAGTCTTATTGGGGATTTGGGGTTATTATAGTCTGTAATACAAAGCTCTAGCCTTTATCTTATTTTGCTCCTCCCCCAAGGAAGAAGTAACAAAATCACCTTTTCATTTCCAACCTTGGCTTTCTAATTTTAGCATTGCTTTGTTACATCCCTTGGAAAACTTATATACAGCAGTGGACCCATAACCATATAGAACTGAATATTGAAAATATCATCCAAGTCACAACCCAATAAAGAATGGAGGCCAATCAAATAAGAGAAAAGCAGCAAAAAACATGTGTTTTTTGGGTAATAGGAACACGAATCTGTTGTACAAGGTAAGAATACATACAGTCTCATCAAAAAGTGATTCCAATACATCGAAGTTGACCAGTAGACTTCTCTGCATTCAAGGAACATTATAAAATAATAAAATAAGATTGTAAATAATACCATGCACATGATAACAGAAAAAGAAAACATTTGCAAATAAAGATGGATTCAATAGCATGGTACTATGTTAATATATAAGTCGATCAATATGGCCATATATTTATTGAAGGAGCCATCGGAATACATTACAGTTTATCACACAGGAGGCCCATTGATGTAATACATATTTAAGTATGCATTACTTTTTTGTGCCTGAAAAAATATTCTCACAAACCAACATGAAATACTCAACAATGAGATGGAATGCAACATTTTAAAATTCTTGATTGTTTGCTGATACACACAGAGTACCTTTCTACTCAACATTTTTTGTGTGGCTTCTGCTGCAGTTTTGGCAGGACCAGAATTCTTCAGTTTTGCAGTTGCTTTTCCTGCACATACGTCAAAGCTCAGTGGTACAGAGAATTATGCTTCTACTAGTGTAGATGACAGAACACCATCACAAAAATTAGATTTCCCTGGTATGGAAATCCGTTGATGCATGGCAAGGAACCAGTACCGCATAACCACACTAGAAAATGAATTGTTGAATCTATTTTAGAGAGCATATCTGAAGTTCGTGCATTTGATTGATTTATTCATTTTTTATGTACTGTAACATTTGAGAGCTAGTATCTTATTGCTTAACAGAGTACATATAACTCACTATATCTGACTAGGAAGAAGTGAAGAACTTCAGTGAAGAAGCAAATTATGGAAAATATTTATTTCTGAGTGATCACAATAAACAGCCCGTGTGAAATATAGAGTAAATACCCCTGAGCCCCTCTCGTATATCTGTTGTCTCACACTCCTGGCTAAATAGTTCGCATACTCATTTGATCTAAGTCAGCAATGCAGCAACCATGGGACCGGCTCTCGTACATCCATGGCCTGACGCTACTAAGCTTAATAGCTCGCATACTCGTTTGATCTAGTAAGTTGTGCACCGTTGCAGGTCTGTTCTGACATGATATTGCATGTACTTGCCCTTACGTTTGGCCAACTTCAATCGATTTTTGGGGGGAGGGAATAACAGATTGTTTCCTAAGCCTGAAACTCGTTGTGCAAGTCAAGGTGGTACAAGTCAAGGTGGTGTAAGACCGACCTCCGGGTTGAAGGTACGCCAGAGGTCATGCCCTGAACCCTTCTCGTACATCAGTAGTCTTATCGTTGGCTAAACAGCTTGCACACTGCCAATCCTAAATCGACAGTGCGCGAGTCAGCTCCCCTCTACCAACCAGGACTCAATCAAGGATTTTTCCAAGTATTCTTGAATGAAAAACAAAAAAGTAAATTAAAAGAAAGAATGAAGCACACACACAAGCTCAAACGATAAAATATTCAATGAATAAAGAATGAGAATTCAAAGGCACAAGTCTGGAAGGAAAGCAAAAATGTTATAAAGTATAATCGAAGGACCGGGCGTCTTCTCCGGGACATCATGGAGAACGGTCCCAAGATCATTGTCGTGTATAACTCCATCCAAGCCATCAAGAACATGCAAGAAATGTTGAGGAGATCAAGTGTCAAGCCCATCATCATCGCTCGCTTCCTCCTCCTTATCTGGATCATACATGATCTCGGGTAAACCAAGCTTCTCGGGGTGAAAGTCAGGAAAAAGGTATGTAAGTTTGTCATACAACATCTTTTGCATATCATACTGGCCACATTTAAAGGAGATCAAAATCTCATTGTTGCGCCAATCCTGCCCCTCCTTGGTCTGTAGCCAAGCCCGAATCTGCTCTGAGCGCTGAGGATCCATCTTGGAAGTGACTAACTCCGAAAACTTTAGGGAGGCCTTAAAGGCTGCAACTGCTTGATCTCCTGCATCCTTGGACGACGCCTTTAGTTGTTCATACTTTAATTGAAGCTCGGACAACGCCTTTTTGTCTGCTTCATGGCGAGCTGCATGTAACTTCAAGACAAACTCTGCTTTGTACGTCCGCTTCTCAGCCTGGATTGCCTGATGCCGGGCATCGTCGGCCTCACGCTGTAACTCCTCATTCTTACCATTCACGACATGAAGTGTAGTGATTAGCCTCATCAAACCCTACAAAAAAAACAAGTGTAAGGCAGCAAGGTTAAAATGAAATTAATTGGTAAGAAAAACCAACTTACTTCGGTATGAGCCGTAATGGAGCGCTCCATAATTGGTAGTAAACCGGTGGCCGCTAGGTACTCCCATTTATCGGACGATACCAAGGATGGAACAATGTCTGCTGCTCGTGCTACCTCCGTGAGTGATGGAATACTGGGAACAGGGGCTCGATGACTGGCAGGAGGAGCACGGGGCGAGCTAGGCTTTTGCTGGTCGGGTTCTCTTTCTCTACCCGACTTGATGATCAAATTTATCCCTTTGCCCTTCTTTGCAACTTGCACTTCGCGAGAGGGGGAGGCTCTGCGCTTTCCCCTAACATCAGATGGACATTCGTCAGACGTCGAAAATTGGGATTTAGCATCCTGTGCTGCAGCCAGGGAAGCAAATGCACCTCTCCTACCTGCCATATATGCAAGAAAATAAACAAGATGAGATCGTATTAAGTAATATGATGATCTTTTGGGCTACAAGGCTTAACCAGATGCGAAGTAATAGGGAATGGATTCTCCATAACAAAATATCAATCTCCTTCTTGAGATCGAGAGTGAGGGGAACAAATTGGTACTTGTGCACCCAAGTGACCCAAGTAAATGTGGGACCGGAGCCCACACTCATTTGCTCTACCACTTCCTAGTCTTGTCAATGTACTGCTCGAACACCTTGTGTTGCTGTGATTGGTAGAATGATACGTATCCACCATCATCCGATTTGCGACTAGGATGGTTCCAACGGAAGCAATAACGAAACAAAAGGGATGGACTGTCGGATGGACACCTCTCACCGGGCCACAATGCGGAAACAAACATGAGGGCAACTGAGTCATCTGACTCGATGATATCCTGAGGAGCACTACTAGCAAGAGACACAACAACACCTGAATGCCCAGCTTTATGGACGCGATGTGAGCACCGAAGAACTAGTTCGAAGGAGGATTGGTGAGATTATTACTGCACGCCAAAAGTACAAGGGTGCAATCACAACCAATTAGATGATCCACCAACTTCAAGTCTTTTGTTGTGCAGGTAGGATGCAGGTATCCCACGTGCCACACTCTCCAAAAGTTGGGGTCATTGGCACTATCTGACTGAGAGACTTCATCAACTTGGAGTGTGGTAGAATTGGAAGGCTGAACAGGGCTATCACACAGACAGTCTAGAGTAAGGCGGAGGCGACTCTAACAGATGATGATCCACCTGGGGGCTCCACTTGATTTTGAGGACATGATAAGCTGTTGTCTCGAGATACTATCATCAATGCTATCATCATAAAGTTCCTGGATCTCCTCTAGATGACCCAGTACCGAATCAAACTCTCTTGCGGCTGGCCTGGAATTTGACCAAACACATGGTCATGATGGGGATCAGTAAGATGGTAATCATCACCTTACAATCCATTTCGAGCCACACATCTTCATCTCCTACCTAGGCTCTTGCGGTGCTATCGCCAAGTTGAGGTTGCACATGAATGACAGTGCATGGTTCACGTACAAGCTCCTCAAAGGGCGAGTACAAACCTAGCTTTGAGCTTAGGCCTCTCACACCCGCTGGAAGGTCGTGGCTGTTCACGGAGGACATATGGAGATTGAGTAATCCTACCACTCGCACATGCCTTTACAACTGACCTTAGGAAACACCGCCTCCTAATCTCATTCGAGATTAGCTCGTACGCTTTTGATGATCATGTCATTGACGTACGCTTCCATTTTCCTCCCGCGCACAGTCAAGAACACCTTTGCCACCATCCCCGTGTATGTCGCCCCAAAATTCTTCAAACCAAAATCCATGACTAAGTAGCAGAAAATTCCTCCCGGGTGATGAACGAGGTCTTTTATGCATCATATTCATGTATGATTATCTTATGATATCCCCTTAACGCATCCATAAAACTAAGGAGCTCGCACCCGGCCATCTTTTCGACCAGTTGACCGATATTAGGCAAAGGGAAGGGGTCCATTAGGGATGTGTTATTGAGATCTGTGTATAGAACGTGCATCCTCCAAGTCAGCAACTTCGTTGCCGGAACCACATTCGCTAACCATTCCAGGTACAATACTTTCTTGATGTGTTTTATAGTCAGGAGCATGGTGACCTTCGCGGATTCTCTTCCTTCTGCTGATAGGTGTCTTCTCTTTTGTTGGACCGACTTCACCGTTGGATCAAAAGCCAGCCTATCTACGACCACATTCTGGTCTAACCCCGACATATCTTTGAGTCTCTCTTGGCCTGGTCGAGAGCCCAACACCAATCTTGATCTTCTATTCCAGCCGCTTGGGGTCTTCCAAGGTGGATTCAGCGCAGAGCTGACCATTCTCGTACATCGTAGCCTTATAGTTGATGGTAGGGACCCTGAGATCCCTCTTCCCAAGCTGCTTGTACGTGTTAATGTAACAACTCCATGTCATCTTTTGATCTCCCCAGGCCACCCCGACTCTGTTTGGAGTTGGGAACTTCATACATAAATGCTCTTGAGAGATAATGCACTTGAGATCTTTCAACGTGGGCCTCCCCATCATGATCTTGTGTGCGCAAGTTAAGCGTACAACTACGAACTCGACGTTTAACTTGGAAACATATGGCTCGGATGCCACCATCACGAGTAGTACCACGCTACCCTCTGATTCGATTTAATCCCCGGTAAATCCCGAGTGGTGTCTTTATGGGACTCAAATCAGATTTGCTTAAACTCATACGCCTTGTTGGGTCTTCTCCGATGACTCGAATGATGTGGCTGCAGCGATGATCTGCTCTCAGCTATGTTCCTTCTATAAGGCGTCGCAGATGGTGAATTGTTGGGTCTCCTCGGGTAATTTGAGTTGTGCAGAAGCACGGCCCTATGGGGCTGGAGACGAAGCCTGAATGTGCTATGGTACATTGGTACAACTAGGTTTTCAATTAGTTGCCTGTGTACTTGGGAATTAAAGAAGTACTAATAATAGAAAATTAAAACATAGCTATGGGCTATTTAAAATTATGAAGAGAAGGCTGACCTAGACAGATTAAACTCTAAAAAAAGCTAAATCTTGAAGCCCTTGATGAAGTATAATTGAATGCTTATTTTCCAGTCTGGAACTCAAGGCCTGGAATGCACATTTGCAATGTCGGGTCGAGGTGTCTGCGCCTCTGCGGCCCTAACACCAGGGACGCGTCACCCCCCGGACCCCTCCCGGCTTGCTGATCCCCTGCTCTTTTGCAAGCAGTGGGGACCAAAGTGAATCCTAGACCAAGAACCGATGGGGCTGGCCTTCTTTTGCTTTATTTTGAGATACCGGTATACACTTTTTCCTTACCAAGAATTTCTTTCCACCGGGTATTTTCCTATAAGGTTTTAACAAGGTTGTTAAACTCGAGATCCTAGCTTGGATCATAAGGGGTCCAGGAGATCGTAACTCGTGGATCGTAAGATCCTAGAAGCAAAGCTATCATGCATATATATATAGAGAGAGGAATGATCAGGTCCATCTGGAGGGACGGGAAGTGCCGTCCGAACTTTTACTGTTTGGGGTGGTTCCCAGTGGAATATTTCGATGAAATTTTTTGAGCATGTTCCTCATCAAGTCTAGTTTATCCATACCAAATTTCATCTCAAAATTCGATCGGGAAGGCATTCAAATAAATTCTTGAAACATACTGCACATTCTGCGCACATATAATGTGCAGTATGTTTCAAGAATTTATTTCAATGCCTTCCCGATCGAATTTTAACCTGAAATTTGGTATCGATAAACTAGACTTGATGAGGAACATGCTCAAAAAATTTCATAAAAAAATTCCACCGGGAACCGCCTCAAACAGTAAAGTTCGGACGGAGCCTCCCGTCCCTCCGGATGGACCTGAGCATTTCTATATATATATATATATATGTATGTATGTATGTATGTATTTATGTATGTATGTAAAGCTCAAACTTTTCAAATATTAATAACATAATGTCAATTTTCAATGATATAAAATAAAGCACCTAACATAACAACCTTAAGATAAATTAAGCTTGAAATAAGGACTTTAAATACAGTCATGCGGGTTATCAATAAACAGAGAGGAGGTACTGGACTTGAAAGAAGATTATACGGAGAGTAGAGATGGGACAAAGATTCTATTGAAGTAGGCGACACTCCCCATCTTTTTTATAGAAGAATTGATCAACTGAAGAAGGCTACACTAAAGAAGGTGTCGCTCTGGTCATTGCTCAGGTGCGTCGCTTGGGGAGTTCGGTCTGCGTAAATATAAAAAAAATGAAAACATGTGTTGTTTCCCATTTCTGACTCTGAGAGTCACTTCGGAATTCTGATCAGTAGAGTCATATTCTTTCCCTACAGGCGTGAACGGCGAAGATCGACGATCCTACGATCTTACGAGTTTACCCGTCGATCTCCCAGTGTTTTCCGCTCTTATGCACGATCCAGCTCGACCTTACAAGTTTAAGTCGTAAAATCATACGAGTTAGTGATCTTAATCGCGATATTGATAACCTTGATCATGAGCAAAAGAAGAGGTCTCCCGGTTGAATCAAGGAATACCCTGGGATATTGACAGGACAATGAAGACCCCGGGCTACTGACTGGACAAAGAAGACCCCAGGATACTAACTGGACAAGGAAAACCCCATCCTTTCATGAGCAGTGTGGATCAAACTCAAGGCTCTTTAATGATCAGCCAGCCCGACCAGCAATTTGGCTGATTCCAAAATAGCACAGCTACCCCCTTTTAGCTGAGTCTACTACTCAACTAAGGGAGTGGGGGACTTGTGTTAGGATAATGGGACGGGTCCAATACTATCGGTCTGTTATACCCAAGTGTGGGCCTGAACGGACCTAGAACACAGTCCAGCTAGCGGAAATTGGTCCACGATTATTTGAATGGGTCAAACCCAGGTAGCATTTAATTAGTCAACTTGTTGTAAACGCCTATAAATAGGCAATCAATCCCTTGTATTCAATACGTTATTTTCACTTTACTAAATCACTACTGCTTTTTCTCTCTAAGCTTATTTACTGCCAAAAACAAGATTTGCAATTTTGTGGTCATCACAATGAGAATATACATGCTCTGAAAATTACACACCAAGCGGAAATTTGATCATCGAATTATGACAAACAAGCATGTAAAATATAATACCTTCCTTCAGTGTTCCATCCCATGAAGCTGAGAATTGACTTTCCACAGACCTTAAAGAACTACTCCCTGCCAATTGACTCTAAAATAATTTGCAAGTTAGTTGTAGAAGTGCATGTATGTTTACCCTTATGCACACACACACAACTAACTGTTCAATTGAAACAATAAATCAAATGCCTGCTCCTCCTACACACGTTGAGGAATGCCCCTACCTGTTCTGAATAATGTTAGCTTCGCAACGTTTCAGTTTTACTAAAGGGTTTTGACATTGTCATTTCGTAGAGAAAATATGTATCTCAGCTAAAAAAAACACTTCAGGTTTGATCTTGTACGGAAAGATATTAGACATGTGTACACTGTAAAGATAAAATACCAATATACCATGCATAAAACACACATGTTTGCCCACAAGTGTGGGGGATTTATTGGAGAGAAATCAATTAAACTACAATCAATCTTAAAACAGCAAATTGCTGTGAGTCAGCAAGTTTAACTAGAAAAACGTAGCTCAAAAGTTGGTATAACAATTACACTACCCCAGGGGTAATACAACATTTCTTCTACGCTCACATAAAAAGAGCAGGTGAAGTAAAAAATAAAAGTAGGGGTCTTCAGACCCAAGCCCATCTTTGTTACAAAAGAAATCCCTTACACACCCTAAAAAATGATGAAGTAACTGAAATGTAATAAACCTAGGCGGCTAGGCCTGGGCAGTGCCGCAGTGGGCAGCTCTCAAAGTTGGTTCGGTTTGTTTGGGTTTTTTGGTCAAATTGTAAACACAAGGTAAGTAAACACAGGTAGCTCTTGAAGTTTGTTCAACCACATGTTTTATACACAATTATATATAATAACCTAGAGCATAAAACTTTCTATGGATTACAAGTATTTCAAAAACCTACGGAGATCAAGAATCAAGATGAGTCTTTAACTTGCAAGCTCACAAAGTTGCCTAAACCCATACATTTTAAGAGGGGAAATTAAGTAATTCACACAGACAGCATTTAAAAAGGTAATAATTAATCATTTATACATCTAAGTCTAGTTTAATATGTACAACAGAGCATGCCAAAATTGAAAAATATTTTGGCAATCACGCATTCAAACGGGAAAGTCTACCAAGCAATAGAAAAACTTTACAAAAGCAATTAAACAGCTCTTGCCCAATAAAATGCAGACATTCTACACTAGATCCTACACCAAAGGAGAGGAGCAAAACCTGCTCGACATCATTTTTTACAGTAACTTCCTCTACGAAATGGTCTTCGGTAAGGACTTTCCCACACAACGTACAGCATCTGTCAGATAATCCATAAAAAACAAAGGCAATAAATATATCACCAAGCATTGGACAAAGAAAATGCGGATATAGAGAGATAAGGGACAAACTGTCTGTTGTCAGAATTATCAGTGCAGACACTTCTCCCGCAGTTGTCACACCACATCATGACCATTGGTTCACGAACACCAAGACCAATAAATTCGATCAAGTCCTGAGAACGCTGCATGTAAATGGAACTAAAATTCTTCAAATTAGATGAAGAAATCAAATAATTTGATTTCCTACAACATGAGTGTGTATTGTAAACGGATTCTATGGACATTTTAAACGAATAACAAAAATACACACTGACATAATAAAAAATTCAGAGATAACAATATTTAATTTTCCCTAAAAAACAATATTTAATTTTAAAAATATATAATCAAATGCCATATCCCAATTGGATGTTGCTGTATATTCAAATGCCACATCAATTCACAGGGTCAGTCCAGTATATTTGAAGGCCTAGGGGCAGATTGCTTAAAATGGGCCTAATCTTTAAAAAGCATTGTAAAACCCTATTTGATCTAAATTAACATGCATAATAAGATGTATTTGAAGACCTTTTATAATAAAGAAAAGGCTTAAATTTGTTAAATTAAACATGGTAGAATCACGGTTTAAAAAAAAAACATAGCTTCAAGTGCTCACTATCAAGAATTCAATATTATCAACTCCTAACCTAAGTTCACTCCTCCTGTGACATAACCATTCTGAGCCGTTTCATTTTCGGTAGCTAAACTATTCTTCTTCTCTTAGTTTTATCTTGAGGAGGATATTCAAGATTTGACTTCATCACACAAAACAACTTTTCCATGGAACCTTTTTTACATTTTTACTTAGGGCGCTTTCTGTAATCTTCTTCTCCTTTTTCTTTTTCCCATACAGATTCAATCATTTTTATCACACCTTGAAATTAATTAAATTTATAAATTCAATTATAATTGAAAACTTTTTATAGGAGGGGATAATTGAAAACTTTTACATAACAAAATCAACAAATTATAACACCAACACTCAATAGATAACCAACAATTAAGAATAAGAACTAAACATTTATTAACACTCAACAACCAACAAATCGATTAATTATTTATCAACTATTCATTTATAAACATTAAACAACTATGAATCACCGATTCATGAATGAAATCAATTGATAAACTAACCAAATAAATTTGGAAATAAAGGAGGCCGGACTCAACTGAACTTCTGAAGGCTGATTGTTGAGGCGATGAGGCAGACAGGAAGTGAAGGGACAAGGCGTGAACAGCAGAACAGGGGCGGGCCTGAATGTGAAGCCTGAAGCCGTGAATGTGAGAACAGAGCACGGCGCACCACTGCACGTCTGCACCAGAGGTCCAGAAGGCTGGCTGAGTTGGTCTAGAACGACTGGAAGTCCGGCAGGCGCCAGGCGGACGGCAGGGCAATCGGCTGCTCCTTAAATCCTTAACCTCGTAGTCCGTTTTCGGTTTTCTGCCATGCAGACGCTCATGTCTGCGTTACTAAGCTTTTCCTTACTTTTGGGCTTGGGCTGGGCAAATTTGGCAGTTTAGAAGCTCTTCTCTTCTTCTAAATTTGGCTGCGTTATTAAGTTCTAATTTGATCTGATCTGAATTTTTCTGATCTGATTTGATCTGAATCTTTCTGATCTGAATCTTTCTGATCTGGTCTGAATCTTTCTGATCTGATCTGAATCCTTCTGATCTGATCTGAACTTTCTGATCTGATCTGAATATTTCTTTAATTATAATTATAATTATTGTAATTATAAATATAATTTCAATATAATTTATAATTATAGTCATAATTCTAAAAATATTTAATTATAATCATAATTATAACTATAATTAAAGTTATGAAAAATTATACCTACTACACTGATTATAATTATAACTATAATTATAATTGTAATTATATTTTTAATTATAATTATTTCGAGTTTTTTCCTGGAATAATGCTAATTAAATAAATAATTCCCAGAATACTGCTGGGTTAAGAATAATTCCCGAATTACTGTTGGGTTAACCATGGTTAAGCAAAGCCGCCACTCCAAGTGGCGGCTCTTCATCTATCTTTACAAAAGCCGCCAGTCCGAGTGGCGGCTCTTCTATAGTAATACAAAAGCCGCCACTTCGAGTGGCGGCTCATTAATCCGTAGACATACCCCTTTCTTCCCAAACGACGAACTAATCTGCCCTCCCCTTCCCTCTGCAGCAATCGACGAACGGCAACAGCATGAAGCAAGTGCTCCGATTCCGGCCAGATCTCGTCCAAACGAAACTCAAATCAAAGGCAAAAGGCTCGTGGTGTACCCGAGGTCGTTTGTACTCCATTCCATCGACTTTCTATTGTTTGAATAGAGGTATTCTACCATTTTTGCTAAACCTAGGTTTTTTAATTGGTTGTTCGAAATTGCTTGTTTTTTTAATTAGTTTCTTTGTATTTGATGTTTTGAAATATATAACTTCTTAATCTTGTTATTATGATTGAATTTATATAATTTGTAAAATTTGAATGATACCAACTTTCACCTTTTTTGCTAAAGCTAGGTTTTTTAGTTATTGCTCCAAATTGCTTGAAATTGTTATTGTTTTGTTCAAAATTGCTGTTGATTTGCTTGAAGTTATTGTTGTTTACTTGTTTACTAATGGATTTTGATTTTCTTTTACTAATTAACTAATGCTAATTAATCATGTGTTAATTTGTTGCTTTTTCATTACACCGAATTTTTGTACTGGTTAATTATTATGAGTCCTAATGTAATGGTATGAAATCGTAATATGTATATACAATCTAATACTTTTCTTTTGAATTATAGTAATTGTAGTTGAATTTTCAAATAGCGGCATACGTCATACTTTTTTTGGAATGATTTTTTCATAGAATATGTCTAGAAACTTCTTCATTGTTTGTCAATGGGGAGGAAATATTATCGAGAAGTCAAACGGAGTTCATTATGAAGGAGGAATTCGGAAGATAATTGTTGTTTTCCCGTGGGGTGGATCTTGCTGAAATAATGAATAAAATTTATGCCGCCACATCCATCAATCGTATGAACAAGTTGGATTTGAAGGTTAAATATCCCATGCATGGTGGATCATACATGTTGATGCCTCTTGCTGACGACGAAGCCGTTACAGGAATGTGGACTGTAATCGAGAGTCTTGATATGCATACCATGGAGATATATGTTGAAGAAGTGGCGGTGTTGCCCATACAACCTGGCCACCCGCCATTGTCTTGCCCATCCACAAGTGTTCCAGTTGTGATGAATATGGTTACACAGGAGAATGGAAGATACGTGAATAGTGATGCAACGTTTCTGGATTCACAGTGTAATGACGACGATGCAGATGAAAATGTGAACCATGACACACTAATTAACATATTCAGATGAAGATGGTGGTGATCTCGTAAGTGGCAATGCACCATCCAGCCACTACACTAAAGTTTATGAGCTCCCTGCGGGATTTGATGAATCATGGAAGGGTTGTACAACTTCTAGTCGCTTCTCTGCAGATGGCGAATTCGAGGTTGGGCAAGAGTTTGATGATAAGAAACAACTGATCAACATGGTTAGAGCGTACTCTGTAAAGAGGAACCAATTTTTCTCAGTTGTAGAGTCTGACAAACACAAATGGGTGGCAGAGTGTAATATGAGAAAAGAATGTGGCTGCACTTGGCGGATCCGGGCTACTAAGAAACATGAGAAGCTAGAGATGTTCAAAGTTGTTCGTTATGCAGGTCCTCATATACCTACTTGTGTAGGTAACATCGATAACAATGACCATGCTGGTATCACAGCTCAGTTCATAGCCCGTGAAATTATTGATCTTCTTCGTACCGATCCATCACTAAAAGTCCGCACTATTAGTCAGCTTATGAAGGAAAGGTACGGCTATATACCTTCATACAAGCGAAGTTGGTTGGCTAAGCAAAAAGCTATCGGTGAAATATTTGGAGATTGGGAGGCCTCGTATTCTGGATTGCCTCATTTCATGTTGGCATTACAACATTCCAATCCAGGGACAGTCGTGCATTGGTACCCACCTCTTTCAGGTACCATTGAGTTATTAATATCATTATTATATCTTATTAAATTTCATTTTGAATTCGTCCTCCTAATTTTCTCCATCTTCAGGTACCACTGATGTTCAGTAGTTTCAAAGAGTTTTTTGGTCATTTAAGCCATCCATTAAGGGCTTTAAACATTGTCGTCCCTTACTGACCATCGATGGAACACACTTATATGGGAAGTATAAAGGTACGCTGTTGGTGGCAATGGGTAGTGATGCTAATAATCAACTGTTCCCTTTGGCATTTGCTATCTGTGAATCGGAGAATGGAGAAAGTTGGCCGTGGTTTATGGCGTGCATACGTCATTCAATCACACGCAGAGAATTGTGTGTTATTTCAGATTGACATGCTGGAATTATGAAGGCATTTAATGAGGTAGGGAGTGGATGGGAGGAGCCAGATGCACGACATAGGCTTTGCATACGGCATGTCGCTTCTAATCTGCATACTCAATTTAAAGACATTCACTTGAAGAATCTGTTCGTTTGGACAGCCAATCAACATCAAAAGAAGAACTTTGATGGTGGATTTAACAAGATAGGCGAAATGCATGCACATGCACGAGAATATCTAGTGAACATTGGCTTGGAGAAGTGGTCTTTACACCACGACGGGGGATACAGGTATGGCACCTCAACAACGAACATGGCTGAAGTTTTCAATAGCGTCATGAAAAGTGCATGATACCTGCCTGTAACCGCCTTAGTTGAGTTATCATTCTATCGTGTGAATGCCTATTTTGTGGAAAGAAGAGAAACTAGTAAGAGAAGATTAGCAGAAGGGCATCGCTACTGCCAGCAAGTGACCGAACTGATTGAGAAAAATACGGAAAAAGCAAAGCATCACAAGGTCACAATATTTGACATAGGCTGTGGTTTATACCAAGTGGAGACGGGTCGTGATGGTCGAACCGTGGGGAAGGGTGGTAAAAAACAAACGGTGAATTTGCACCGTCGCCATTGCACATGTCAGAAGCTGAATATTTATAAGATTCCTTGCTCACATATATTAGCGGTATGCAGAGACCGTAGTTTGTCCTATGATCCATTTGTAGATATATTTTTTTCATCATCGGAGTATGCTGCTTCCTATAAAAGAGTATTTAAGCCCATACCAGATATAGCGTATCGACCTACTTACACTGGCCCACGAGTTGTGCATGACCCGTCAATGATTCGCGCTAAAGGTCGTCCGAAGGCTAAACGACTGAGAAATGAAATGGATGAAGGCCCTACAGGTACTGTGAGATGCAGTAAATGCAAGCAAATAGGGCATAACAGGACGACATGTGCTAGAAGATCGGAAGGACACGTAGGGAGTTCCACTGGGTAATGTTGTTCTTTTATTCACAAATGCATTAGCAATATTAAAAAATAAATGAATTTAATTTAATAATAAAATAAAATAACTAATACACTTATTACTTTTACAGCGCCGATGCAGGTGTCAGTGGATCCCGGACCGATTGATCCTTCAGTCCTGACATTGCAGGCCACGCACCGGAGCGAGGATGTGTGGCGTGGCCTAGATGTTCAGGTAGATAGGTGTCGTGAGCACCTACGCAGTATATTCCACACGGGGTGGATGATAGGATTCTACATTACGTTCGATTAGCTGGGTTTTATGGTGTTCACAGATTAGTTTCGACTCTGCATATAGATAGAGCATTACTTACCGCTCTACTTGAGCATTGGAGGCAGGAGACTCACACGTTCCATTTACTGGTGGGTGAGGTTACGATCACATTAGGAGATGTGGCTGTATTGGCAGGTCTACCGATCGAGGGTCGGGCAGTTACTGGGACTGCATGTAGACTGTGGGTTGATTTGGTACACGGATTGTTGGGAGTACGGCCACACCCTGGGACAGATATTTGGGGGTCCGCCTTGAGGATGGCTTGGTTGAGAGAGCATTTTGTTGGTTTACCTGCTGATGCTGATGACGATGTTGTGCAGCAATACGCGAGAGCCTACATTCTGATGCTTATGGGAGCTTCCACGTTTGCGGACAAGAGTGGGAATGAGGTGCAAGTCTTGTATTTACCCATTCTGGAGTCTTTTGATGTAGCTGCAGTTTGTAGCTGGGGTAGTGCGACTTTAGCATACCTATATCGGCAATTATGTCGAGGTTGCCATCGTGACGGTGGAGAGATGGGTGGGTTTTTATTGCTCATACAACTATGGTCATGGGAGCACATTCATATCGGCAGACCTGTCATACTGCGATGTCATGGGGTAGATGTTGGTCCTCTTGATGATGATATGGATCAGCACGCTGTACTTGGGCCACATCATGTTCGTGGCGAGAATCCTTTGGGTCATAGGTACGTTTATGATTTTTTTTGTATGACGTACGTGAATCCCTTTTATATT